GGGCACACTGCAGAGGTAAATTATACAGCAGGAGCTTTAACAGACCAAAAAGGAAACAAATAAGAATAACAAAGGAAACAAATAAGAAAAATCCATTTTTTTAGACTTACAAAAAATGTAAGATATTTCCCCAGAGAATAGTTGCAGGCACTTCCCCGTTCTGAGTCACTGAGTCACCCCTTCTCTCTACTCCCTATCCACCTCCAAGCACCATCCCTTGGTTCTACCTCCTACCCACCTCCAAGCACCTTCCCTTGGTTCTACCCCCTACCCACCTCCAAGCACCATCCCTTGGTTCTACCCCCTACCCACCTCCAAGCACCATCCCTTGGTTCTACCCCCCTACCCACCTCCAAGCACCTTCCCTTGGTTCTACCCCCTACCCACCTCCAAGCACCTTCCTTTGGTTCTACCCCCTACCCACCTCCAAGCACCATCCCTAGGTTCTACCCCCTACCCACCTCCAAGCACCATCCCTTGGTTCTACCCCCTACCCACCTCCAAGCACCTTCCTTTGATTCTACCTCCTACCCGCCTCCAAGCACTTTCCCTTGGTTCTACCCCTTACCCTCCTCCAAGCACCTTCCCTTGGTTCTACCCCCTAACCACTTCCAAGCACCTTCCCTTGGTTGTACCCCCTTCCCACCTCCAAGCACCATCGCTTGTTTCTACCCCCTACCCCCACCTCCAAGCACCATCCCTTGGTTCTACCCCCTACCCACCTCCAAGCACCATCCCTTGGTTCTACCCCCTACCCACCTCCAAGCACCATCCCTTGGTTCTACCCCCTACCCACCTCCAAGCACCATCCCTTGGTTCTACCTCCTACCCACCTCCAAGCACTTTCCCTTGGTTCTACCCCCCTACCCACCTCCAAGCACTTTCCCTTGGTTCTACCCCCTACCCACCTCCAAGCACCATCCCTTGGTTCTACCCCCTACCCACCTCCAAGCACCTTCCTTTGGTTCTACCTCCTACCCACCTCCAAGCACTTTCCCTTGGTTCTACCTCTTACCCTCCTCCAAGCACTTTCCCTTGGTTCTACCCCCTAACCACCTCCAAGCACCATCCCTTGGTTCTACCCCCTACCCACCTCCAAACACCATCCCTTGATTCTACCCCCTACCCACTTCCAAGCACCTTCCCTTGGTTCTACCCCCTACCCACCTCCGAGCACCATCCCTTGGTTCTACCCCCTACCCACCTCCAAGCACCTTCCTTTGGTTCTACTTCCTACCCACCTCCAAGCACTTTCCTTGATTCTACCCCTTACCCTCCTCCAAGCACCTTCCCTTGGTTCTACCCCCTACCCACCTCCAAGCACCTTCTCTTGGTTCTGCCCCCTACCCACCTCCAAGCACCATCCCTTGGTTCTACCCCCTACCCACCTCCAAGCACCTTCCTTTGGTTCTACCTCCTACCCACCTCCAAGCACTTTCCCTTGGTTCTACCCTCTCTTACCCTCCTCCAAGCACTTTCCCTTGGTTCTACCTCCTACCCACCTCCAAGCACCTTCCCATGGTTCTACCCCTTACCCTCCTCCAAGCACCTTCCCTTGGTTCTACCCCTCCCTACCCCCTTCCCTTGTTTCTACCCACCTCCTATTACCACCCCTTTTAGAGAATACAAAACCAAGTATCATTTTGTGGTGCTAAGTAATTGGTATACAATTTGTTAATGATAACAAGAAAAGCAACAATAGAACCCCTCCCACTCAGCAACAATAGACCCCCTAGCAACAATAGATATGTCTACAACAATAGACTCCCCTCCAGCAACAGTGGACCCCCACAACAAAATACCTACAGTAGATCCCTTCCAACAACTGACCTCCCCCCCAGAAACAATAGAGCCCCTACTAACAACAATAGACCTCCCCAGCAACAGTATACTCCCATGCACAAATAGATGCCCTCCAGCAACAATAGATCCCCCAGAAACCAGCATCAATAGAACCTGCAGCACACCCCAGCACCCACATTAATTGCTGGAGGTGCCAGCACTGTGTTCCCCTGCGATCCCACTAAAAAAAAAAATATGTTAATGTTTTATTTTTGTCAGCACCTCAAAAGACAATCATATGAAACAAACAAAAGCAAAAAAGGTCGTAAGAGTTATAAAATATTTTAAAGCATCTGTTAAAATAAAACCTTTGAGATAGAAGGTATTGCAATATTATAGTATTTAAGGATCAATTGATCAAAACAGATGAGTTATTTTAACTACATTCTTTATTTTACTTTGTAGTTTTCTTATAAAATGATGGCAGTGGATCAGTTTAAGCAGGGTGCTAGTCTGTACACTGCTCTTTATGTGTAAGTACCCATGAGCCTAGATAATATCACAGACGTCAAGAGCGTCTTCCTGTGTGAGTTCACTGCACTTTAGACTGGGGGGTCTACTGGGGAACTAAAGCAAAAAAAGTATTTTAGTGTCATATGAATATTATCTGTCAGCATAACAGCAAAATTGTAGCATCAAAGTGCAGCCTCTGTCAAACATTTGTCTTTCTGTGAAAGCAAGAAAAAAAAAACATATATAGAATACAAAAAATCAGCTAAACTATCTTAAATACAGCACTACAAAAAATGCCCTTCAAAAAAGCAAAAAAGAGAAGATTTTTCTCTCAATAAACAACTGAGTGCACAAAATTAAGAGTTTGTGCTTTGGTGAGGTTTCGCATACAGCAAAATCGGTAATTTTTTTCACTACGTTTTAAAGACAGGTCAGGTGACCACCTTGGAGACATGAAAGTAGGAAGACATTAACTAAAAAAAACATTTAAAGCTGAATTCTATACAAACAAGTATACAGTTGACATAGGAAATATAGGAAAGAGATAGGCAATTTTGTTCAGAAAAGGGGTGGATTTACCAAAGAAATAGATCATGTCATTTTGTAAATTTCGCTTGCACTGCTCTGGGTTTTCAGAGTGAATCATGCTTCACTTTATTTCCTAAGCTAAGTGACCATACAAAGTGAATATTCCCTTTGCCAAGTGACTTCTACTTCTTTAGTATATTAAACCAAAAAAAAAGGAAAAAAAACAGTTGAAACCTCTTGAGTTCCTTTGTGTGTCCATAGCTAAAATTGTTAACATCGAAAGAGTTTTCCTGATTTCATGAAACATACATTAGGCTTCAGTTATATGCATTACCTATACTAGACACCAAAAGCAGTTTATATGAGAGTATTCTTATGCTTGTTTTAGTGAGATTTTTGGGGTGTTTAGTCCATGTAGACCAGGGAAGGGTGCATTTTTTCTTCTGGCAAAAATATACAGTATTTAAAAAGGTATTGTCATCAACTAGCTCCTTTTAGTGTTTTTAAGTGGACCTTCACCCTCTTCTTTCACTTTACATAATAACACCCCCCCTTTCTCCCTTGCTTTCCCACCTAGGTGAGAATGACGCCACCCCCCCACCCCCAACACCCAAAGCCTCCAGGGATACCAACTTCACACATCCTAGAAGGCATCAAGTCAATTTCCACCACATTTGGAATGCATTGGACTGTCTCCACCATGCTGCACATGTACCACAACACATCAACAGGGTACTGGCTCAAAGAACCAGGAAGAGACAGTTGACCACCTGATGATGATATCACATGTGAATAGGGCAGTATGGAATTGGAGTGCTGAGACTGACAGACAACTCGGGTGAGATTGTCTTTTGTAGACAACCTAGCAGCAATGGTAGGAGGGTGAAAAAAAGGAGTGAAGTTCTTTAGAGAGTAGGTGATGTTTTTTTTTTCCGATTTGACTCTACATCAGGGGCAGACTAACCATTTGGAAACTCGGGCACTGCCCGAGGGCCCGGGGTCAGTAGGGGCCCCATGAGATGCCACTGGTACCTTTTTTCATAGGCTTTTTTTGAGTTTTGGCAAGGACACAGGGGCCCCATGATCCCCTATTGCCCGGGGGCCCCATGAGTTGTCAGTCCACCCCTGCTCTACATGCTCTGGTTGCTATGATGGCAGGAGAGAGTAGGGGTGCTCTCATACAGGAGTGGTGTTACTGGCCAGATCACCAAGTGAAAACAGATGGGAAAAGCCAAAACGAATGCAGCCACCACATCTAAGAAATGGTAAGCTGCATTATATTGCAATTTAACACAAAAGAATGCATAAGTATGAATGAGCCCTAAATGTTTGTAACCAAAATTTACACATTTTGTGGCATGTTCACCATATACTGCGTGCAATGGAGTATCTATAATCCATTGATTCTCAGTACATTTTTTTTATGATGTTTTTTTCCCTATAAAACACATTTAAAGCAACTTGTGGAAAAGTTAAAAATCAGTGGCTACAAAAACTGTGCCTTAGCTATTGACTTTTAAGAAACAGACACTCACTTGTCCTCTTGGGTGAAGTTCCACTTTAAGTAAATTATCTGATTTTGGAAATATAGGTTTAGAGCAAAGATATACCGTATTTGCCGGCGTATAAGACGACTGGGCGTATAAGACGACCCCCCTACTTTTCCTGCTAAAATTTAGTGTTTGAGCTATACTCGCCGTATAAGACTACCCCTCTTCCAATGCACACCAGTGGCAGGAATAGTGCCCCATCATTGGTATCAGTGGCAGGAATAGTGCCCCATCATTGGTATCAGTGGCAGGAATAGTGCCCCATCATTGGTATCAGTGGGAGGAATAGTGCCCCATCATTGGTATCAGTGGGAGGAATAGTGCCCCATCATTGGTATCAGTGGGAGGAATAGTGCCCCATCATTGGTATCAGTGGCAGGAATAGTGCCCCATCATTGGCATTAGTGGCAGGAATAGTGCCCCATCATTAGTATCAGTGGGAGGAATAGTGCCCCATCATTGGTGTCAGTGGGAGGAATAGTGCCCCATCATTAGTATCAGTGGGGGGAATAGTGCCCCATCATTAGTATCAGTGGGAGGAATAGTGCCCCATCATTAGTGTCAGTGGGAGGAATAGTGCCCCATCATTAGTATCAGTGGGGGGAATAGTGCCCCATCATTGGTATCAGTGAGGGGAATAGTGCCCCATCATTGGTGTCAGTGGGAGGAATGGTGTCCCAACATTGGTGTCAGTGGGAGGAATGGTGTCCCATCATTGGTGTCAGTGGGGGGTGGAATAGTGCCCCATCATTGGTGTCAGTAGGGGGGGGGAATAGTGCCCCATCGTTGATGTCAGTGGGGGGGAGGAATAGTGCCCCATCGTTGGTGTCAGTGGGGGGGAGGAATAGTGCCCCATCGTTGGTGTCAGTGGGGGGGAGGAATAGTGCCCCATCGTTGGTGTCAGTGGAAGGAATAGTGCCGCATCGTTGGTGTCAGTGGGAGGAATAGTGCCCCATCATTGGTATCAGTGGGAGGAATAGTGCCCCATCATTGGTGTCAGTGGGAGGAATAGTGCTCCATCATTGGTATCAGTGACACCAATGATGGGGCACTATTCCTCCCACTGACACTTGCTGACCCTGTTCTCGTATGGTGCTGCTGCAGCCAGCATATGTGGTTGCAGCAGCACGTCTACACTGACCACTTACCTGCTGGTCCTGCACTCGATTTTCGCGGGGCCGCTCGGCTCCACCCCCTTGCCGGTGATTGGCCGCCTGTGTGCCTTTCCTGAGCTACAGTTCTGGCGGCCAATCACTGGTGAGGAGGCGGAGCCGAGCAGCCGCACGAACATCCAGTGGCCGAACTGAAGGCGCAGCCGCGCTTCCTGGACCGGATCGTCGTGGGACCGGAACCAGGTAAGAAACAGCCGCTGCCCACCCCTGTACTTAGTGTCCCTTCCATTGGGGGAAGGGGGGGGCGGCGGCGGCAACGCGCCGCCCCCTAAAAAGTGTCAGTATGCCGTATACCGGCGTATAAGACGACCCCCGACTTTTGAGAAGATTTTCAAGGGGTAAAAAGTCGTCTTATACGCCGGTAAATACGGTACCTTTTATATTGTCAGTTAGTAAGTTTGAATAAAAGATGATTTGTTTAGAAATATTTATTTAAGAATGGAATGCTGGAGAGGCAATGGCAAATTTGTAAATACTAAAGCCCAGTTGAATTTGTGCTTTTTATACTGTCATGCAGTCGAGTAGGGATAGAGTCTGGGAGATGTTTAGGGATCATGTGCGCCCTGTCAATTATAAAATCTTTTTTATTTTTGGAAATGTTCTTTTTATAGAAGGCTTTCAAATTAGATTCACAAGTATGCATTAGTTATTTTGTTAAATTTTCTTTAAAAACAAAACATTCCATTTAACAGTGTTGAAGAGAGAGTGATATATACAGTACTTATAGGAATTGACTAGTATAGTAACTCCACTTTCATGGGAAAAAAGCTAATAAAAAAAATAAAATAGTATATACAAATGTGACACAAGTCATATTGCAATTGAATGGTATTACAAAATACCTTTACTTTTCAATATCCGGCGCTGGTTTCTGTAAAATGCAGTTCAATATGGCTACCTGGAGATGGTGTACAAAATGCCCCTCAAAAATATAATTTCCTGCTTGTGTGACTGGTTTACTGATTTGCCCAGAAGTCTGCTCAAGTCAGATGTTTTGCATCCCCTTCAATAAAATGCCTTTTTGGTGAGATACTCACAAAGGGAAATCACGTCTAAAGGGATGCAGGCCCTGCAATTTTCCTTATTAGAGACCTATAGGCGCAGCACCTAATTGATGATTATGAAATGACTCACATAGAGATGCACTCAGCACTTGGATATAGACAAACAGCTATTTCTTCAGAATAACAAAATGTAGGAATTTGCAACAAAGTTTGTTTAAAATCCTTGCAATGTACATTGATGACCCAGAGAGGAATGATTTTCGTCAACAAAAATGGAGTTACTCTTTAAATGTTTTTTTTTTTTTCAATCAAGGAATTTAATTCATTTTATTCCGTTAAATATCTTTTTGTTTAATATTTATATATAATGGGACATGTTCTTTCTATTTCTTTATTGTAGGCAGGTTATCAGTTTTCCAGTGTTTGGAAAGTAGTGATTTGTTCACTATCAAAACTAAATCAATTGCTCTTTCTTCTGGAGCATTGTAATTTTTTGCAAAATGTTAAAAAAGAACAATGGTATTAAAGTTTTTCTTTTTTGAGCACATCAGAAATGATTATAAAATCTTCAGAAGATTGAAGGTAATAGGATAATTTTTAGTTGCTGGGTTTAGTAAGAAATCAGTTCTGGCTGCATCCTCATTTCAAGAATACTTGAAAATGTTATATTTTATACCAGTATCTGTTTTCCTTATCAATTAGTTTTGTCTAGCTAGGATCATTTGCCTAATTATTTTGAGCGCTTCCATTTGCTTGTTATGGGCTATGGCAAACTCTCCCATCCTCTTTTTAATATGATTTGTATGTAGAAAGGTAGGTAGGTGGGATTTCCTCAATGTTTCCCTTCTTGTTGGGCAGCAAGAGTAGGGTCACATAAAAACCCAGGGGGAGTTCTTCTGGGCTACACTAGGCAGCTAGAACAGGGTCACTTGCTTTGCACATAGGGAACCGCTTACAGGGATAGCTCCACCTTAAGGCAGACCACTAACTCAGAGCTGGCCATAAGCTGTGTATACTGAGCAATCATCTGGGCTCCAGTTAACTCTCCATTTCCCGTGTCAATGCACACCTTGATTTTATTTTGATGCAATTAAGAGGGACATGCTGAACCTATGCCCACTCCACTCTCCACTTACTGAGAGACTTCAGCATACAGTTCCCATAAGGCAAACAGTCTTTTCCCTATCTAACCTAACTACTACGATCTTCCGGGTAGACTGCAGGTCACAGAAGTTCCCTACATGTTAAAGCAACTCAAGACAAAGGCCCCAACTCTACAACAGGTGAGTGCGAGCTGCAGTTTCAAACTCTGAGCCTTGGGATCCAGACCCCTGTCCCTTTTTATATGCCACAGGATCAGTGGGCCGGACCCAAAGAGCCAGCCAAAAACATCCGAGAACAGCAGTATAATAATTAACTCCCTCCCTCCTGGCCAGGGCAGCAAACTGTCTAAACTAACAGTAGGCAACCTGCCTACACATACATCCCGTTCATTGCAAGCTGTCCCACCTGCAAAACATTATAAAATACAATACTATAACATATTCAGGTGCATAGTGCATAGTGCAAAACATTAGCAATAGTAAATGAACAGCAATGTAACACTGTTAAAGTTGTAATTCAGAGTTCAGACATAGAACGCTGGATTGGGCAGTGAAATAGGTTTATTGGTAACCAGGTGACAGCCCCTGACTCGTTGGATAAGGAGGAGGTGAGCATCAGGTTTAATTATCTCGATCCGATCCACCTGGATATGCCTTCCGACATTGTACTCTTGGTAGAGGCAGTGGAACTCTGCATCTATTAACTCTGAGGTTTTTTGGTATCAACAGCTTCTCCCTGATGGCGTGGCTGTATATCATAGGGTGCTCTTCCTCCAGCCGATGAAACAATGCCTCCAGGGACATAGGTGAAATCTCATTTGTATTTGTCCCAGACATAGGCATCAAAGTAACTGTGCAGGTGAGTCAGCTGGGTAATCTACGCCTGGAAATGGACCTAGCCCTTTAGGAGGTAAGGTCTGCAGGGCTTTGCTACTTGTGCCCAGTGCTCTCCATGGGTGCTATTGGAGGGCTAAGGGGTGCCTGAGAAACATGAGGCAAGGACACATGTGGTTCCAGAGATGACTGTGGTTCCTCATCAAGTTCAAAGATGAGGGAGTTCCAGGAGACACCCTTGGATGGTCTCTGGAGTGTGTAACCTTCTTAAACGGGGACTGCTTAGGCAAAGGGCAGCTCCAAAGTGCTCATTGTACAATTCCAGTACCAGAGAATACATGATGGGCAAGCCGTAGCAGTCAGGGGACTCCGTGACAGAACAATCCAGAGTTGGTAGAGGTGGAAGCTCCTCCAGAATTGCCACCACAGGCTGGCTGTGAGCTCCCTGGACAGGTGTAGGCTCTGCAGCTGAGTGATGGGGGGCCAACCTTGAAGCGTGCTGTGTGGAGCTCGTTTGGGGAGTGGATTCTGAGCTAGCAGCAGGTGTACAGCTGAGTTCTCCCGGTTCATATTCTTCTGGTAATCTATGGAACAAAAGGGCTGTGGCAGTGAGCCCAAGAGTCAAGGGTGCCAGGTGTCTACGGCAAAACAGGTGGATGAAGCAGCTCTTCACAGGTGCTGTGTGACAATGGGCAAACCAGACTGTGGTCTGGTATCGGATTTTCCAGGGCAGTGCTGTCCCAACAAGATTTGGTAGCAATGTACATGGTGACATATATATAAAAAAATGCAGCAAAAGAAAGGTGATGATAAGACACAGTCCAGTGAACAAAATGTGCTCCGTATTTCCTAGTGCAGGTGGTAAAGTTTACACTAACCAGATAGCGTAAAATTATACGCATGTGTATTGTATCCTGTAGAGTCCCCTTCTGCACTCAATCTAAATGATAGCCGGAAAGGATAGACATCCTACACTGTGGCAAAAGAGTGGTCCCAAGTCAGAGCCAATCAGAGTAAGTTCACTGGAGATGACCCCTTGGGGCTGTAAAAAGTTGGTGTCTACGGCAAAACAGGTGGATGACTCGCAGCTCTTCACAGGTGCCTGTGTGACAATGGGCAAAACCAGACTGTGGTCTGGTATCGGATGAACACACTGACCCCCTTCCAGGGCTTAGTGTCAACGGCGTCCTAGGTCCACCTGACGCGTTTCGTGCGCACGCACTTCTTCTGAAGAAGTGCGTGCGCACGAAACGCGTCAGGTGGACCTAGGACGCCGTTGACACTAAGCTACTAGGAGGCCCGGCGGCCATCTTTAATTCCAAGGGGGTCAGTGTGTTCATCCATACCTGTCTACACCCGTTTTACTGTGCACCTATGTTTTTACAATAAAGCCTTATCTACTACACTATGAGGAGCTTCCTCAGCTTTTACAGCCCCAAGGGAATCTCCTTGTCATCTCCAGTGAAGGGGGAAGGCTTACTCTGATTGGCATCGCTCTGACTTGCTGGACCACTCTTTTACCACGAGAGGGCGTAGGATGTCTATCCTTTCCGGCTATCTATTTGACCAGATCTGAGTGCAGAAGGGGACTCTACAGGATACATATACACATGCGTATAATTTTACGCTATCTGGTTAGTGTAAATCTTTACCACCTGCACTAGGAAATACGGAGCACATTTTGTTCACTGGACTGTGTCTTATCATCACCTTTCTTTTCAAGCGCTGCATTTTTTATATATATGAATTGTGGGACTTTTTATATGCGTTTTCCTTTATGTTCAGCTGCTGCCACTATTGATGAGCGCTTACTGTATATTTTACCTTGTACATGGTGACATGTTGCATGTCGTTCTGGGACCGGCTGCTATATATACC